TGCTTTTGGCCCAGGGGAATGGGTGGTGTGGCCCGGGTTAGCACTTACCTGGCACAGTGGCTCTTTTCGGAATCTGACAGCCTCCTCCCTTTGCAGTGAGGCTACCTGCTTAGTGGCCTCATTTTATTCCTCGTGGCCTAGTTTCCCGGCACATAGATCTGTTGTCACTATTTCGTGATGGGTTTACCTTTGGATCACGACGGTCATTAGATGTTGGTGCAAAGGATGAAGGAGCAGTTTTCACAAGCACTGACATTCCTGTCACAGGTGGGTTGGTTCTTTAAAGGGAACCCCTCCCCCTTCCCCTGACATGACCAATTTTCTATGCCGGGTTGGAGAGAAATGAACTGTCAAGTGATAGCTGCTGGTTCTGCCATTAAACCAGGGGGCTGCATAACCATCTCTGGCCAGGAGGGGACTCTGCTTAACTGTCCTGTTTTCAAAAGTGAAAAATCAATGCAAATCATCAGAAATGGATGGGATTTAAGCACTTCTGAAAAGTTTTACCTGCAGTCCTTCTGTCCGTATGAGTTTTCGGAAGTAGTGACCCTAATACAACGCCGGGAGGTATCGTGCCGTATTCTCACAATGTTAAACATAGATCCCTTAAGTCCAACCCCAGCTGTCATCGATATAAAATACTTCGCCGTTTGTACTGACTTCTCTGTGGCTCCATTTGGCTGTGCATTGTCATGGCTCAGCATGGTGTTTGCCCGGATGCGTCAGTGGATTGCTGCCGTGTTAGTGGTGGAGTGCAGGCCTCTGTCTGGTAGCTCATTTGGAGTCCGGCGGTGAGCAAACAGGGATTTGTGACCTGCTGTGACATTGTTACTTGATATGTTGTACCACACACTGCTCAGTTAAAAGCCAAGAGGTAATCTTTCCATTTAATTCAAACAGCTCTGCACCAGTGTTACACCCTGGGAGCTCATGTTTTCCATTTTTGCTTCCTGTGTTTATTGCCGAATTCACAGCTGCATCACTTATCTTAAATGGCAGCTGTCATGCTTGTCCTGATGAGGACGTTTTGGACTCCGCTCTTTCGCTTCTCCCTGTCCAGACGGCCACTGGGTTGTGCTTAATGTGTCCGATGTTGTGTCCCATGGCGTTGTGAGGTAATGTCCTTGGCAGAGATTCCCCATCGTGTGTAGCGTCTACAGTCCCAATCAGTGTCTACAGTCCCAATCGGTGTGCATGGAGGCTCCTGGTTTCCCATCTAGAATTCTTCCATCAAATTAGGTCTTGTTTTTGATTCTCTTTTGGGGAGCCTCTCAGCTCTGTTGTGACTCAGCACCATGGCGCCTCCTGCTGGCCAGTCTGAAAATTAGCTCTTCATTGGCCTAGGAGCGCCCTCTGCTGGCCTTTTCCTGTCAGTTACTTGCCTCCTGGTTGTGTCTCTACCCACAGTGCCCCTTCCCGCAGGGTACTGCCCTGCGGCTGTGCCCCTGCGCTCTGGGGTCCTCCCCTCCCAGAGAATCCCAACCCCCTATACCTACCTTGCCTCAGTGACCCACTGCCAGTTGTCATCTAGCTCCTGCCTCAGGAGCAAACCAAAGTCTGAAATGGCCATTGGTCATTGGCAACGGGTGTGGACCTGCTGCCTTTTCCTGCCCTGGTTGCCTCACTGCAGACCTAATATCCCTCAGGCCCCTGTATGAGGCCTGCAGCTCTGCCTGCCTTTCCCCAGCATGTCTTTGACTCAAGTACCCTCTGTAGCTTCCCAGGCAGCGGCGGATATAGGGTGGGGCGAGCGGGGCGGCCGCCCCAGGCCCTGCGCTTCAAGAAGCCCCGCGCATGTGCCTTGGCAAAGGGGGGCCCCGCAAAATTGTGCTGCCCTGAGCCCCGCAAAATGGTCATCTGCCCCTGCAGCCAGGTCCTTTCTATTCCATAGCTAGAGCAAGAGTGTTCTCCTCTTCGCCAAGAGCCCTTCTTATAGGGACTAGCTGGGCCCTGATTGTCAGTCTCAAGCCCTCTTCTGATTGGGTCCCAGCACCAGCCTTCACCCCAGGCTGTTTTAACCCCTTGGGGACCGATGTGGGGCAACTGCCTCGTCACAGTGGGTTCCCCATAAAATACACTCGTTTTACAAAGCTCTCCACCAAGGCCCAGGTTTCACATGTAGCCAGTGTGTGGACATCTGACCATTTTCCTGCAGTCTGGGCAGCTCTTGTGCAACGGTTTCTGTGTCATGGCTTCCAGCTGTGTCCGGCTTGTTTCTGCCTCAGCTGATGGCAGGGAAACCGCCTGCTGCGAAAACCAAGTGGTGGCATTTCTTTCTGCTGAGCAAGAAGGGGGATGTGCAGACGGGCTGAAAGTTTTGTGCCTTGTGTTTTATTTGTACCCACCCCCGGTTCGGATCAGGGCCCCGCTGGGCTCAGCGCTATATGAACACACATACTGCCTGACCTCTTCGAGCCTTTTGTCTTTACCTCTCAACATGCTTTCCAAAGGAGGCACAGAATCACCATTCTCATTTTACAAGTGGGGAAACGGAGGCACCAGACCCCAGGTTACCGGCCCGGCCAGGAGCAGAGCCAAGAATTGAACCAGGTCTTGAGAGTTCCAGTCCAGTGTGTTATCCATAGGGTCACGCTGCATCTCAGAGAAGCAGTGTTTTCCAGCTGCCTGTTGACATGAAAACTCTTTTAGAACACTTGTTGTTTTTACACAGCTTTCTTGTTGTGCTGGGCCAGGTTCCTGGAATTTTGAGGATGGTCTGATCATTACAAAAGGCCTTGACGGTTGTCTGCTTCACAAGAGGCAGAATCTGAAGAGAATCCGCCCGGCATGTGTCCACTGGATAATTTAGCTACCAGCAGCTCACCAAGGTGCCGAATTGCATATTAACCAGTGGTCAGTTTGCAGCATGACTAAGGGAATACATTTCCCTGCAGCTGGACAAAGCCCTTGCTTCATCATTCAGAATCTTCACTTTTGATTTCCTGGCTTGAGGAAGGGACCTGCCCCAGATCAACCTGCGGGTCGTAGAGCTGGGAGCAGGACCTAGTCTGACTCCTAACCACTAGGCAGTGCTGTCTCTCCAGACCAGGGGTGGGCAATAATTTTTTGCCGGGGGCCACTTTGGAATTTTTTGAAGTGGCCCTGGGCGCACAGGAAGGGGCGGGGCATCAAGCAGAAGGGGCGTGGCATTGAGCAGAAGGGGCGGGGCCAAGATATTTCCAGGTTCCCCACCCCCAGACAATGATTAGTCTGGGGCTGAGGGAGTGCCTTTGCCCGCACCCCACGTTCCCCCTTGATGCCCAGGCCCTTGACATGGGACTTTGGAATTTTTTGAAGTGGCCCTGGGCGCACAGGAAGGGGCGGGGCATCAAGCAGAAGGGGCGTGGCATTGAGCAGAAGGGGCGGGGCCAAGATATTTCCAGGTTCCCCACCCCCAGACAATGATTAGTCTGGGGCTGAGGGAGTGCCTTTGCCCGCACCCCACGTTCCCCCTTGATGCCCAGGCCCTTGACATGGGATGATCCTAATTGTCCTGGGGGCGGGGAAGCAGCAGGGCCTCCGCAGGCCGGATCCACCCACTTGTTGGGCTGGCTGCAGCCCACGGAGGCCCTTTTGCCCACCCCTGCTCCACACCCTATTCCTGTCTCAGCAGCTGTTCTCAGGAGTCTTTATGATTAGCGCCCTGCAAATCCGCAGAGATCTACTTTGTCGGCACATACCCGTGGATGTGGATGTGGATGTGGATGTGGATGTGGATGTGGATGTCCGTAGCTCATTTTTGCAGGTGTGGACGTGGACACACATTTTGTATCTCGAGCCCTGCACGTTTGTGGCTATCGGCTTTATGTCCGCGGATATCCGCCTCCCTGGATGTCGGGGGAGGGGGGTGTCTGCCGCTCATTTTTGCAGCTACAGATGCGGATACAAATTTTGTACCCGCGCAGGGCTCTGCTCGTGGTAGCTGTGAGACGTTGGCCACGTGGCGGTCCTGACTGGTGATAAATATGGTCTGTGGCTTTTTTGGGGGGGGAGAGGAGCCGGTAGTTCTGCACAAAGCGTCGAGGCTGCTCATCGGGATCCATTGACCTTCCCCCGCAGGTCCCTCTTTCCCCGATGGGTGTATAAAAAAGTCACCGCCAGCCTTCTCGCTGGCAAGCTTTACCAGCCTCCTGCAGTGTGAGCCAGAGAGGGTGGAAATGACAGTGCGGCTGGGAATCAGCAAGCAGGGAGGGCCCAGTTCCCTTCAGCTGGCCGCCCTGGGCCCCGAGGCCGGCACTGGTGGGTTGAACTAAGTACCATACATCCCGTCCCACGCCGGGAGCCCCCAAACGCCTCCCTTCCCCCCAGCCCAAAACCTGCTCGGGCTCAGGCCTGAGGAAGCTTCAGGGCTATTGAGGGGGGTCCTTCCACATCATCACTGAGGCTAGA